GAACTTTGCAATGTCAAAAATAACAGCCCTAAACAAAACAAAAACCCTCCTGAACGTTTGACCGAAAATTTGAGTAAAAATTTAGAAGCCCCAACTCCAAACCAAAAAACTGTTATACGAATGTCTTACATCATTACTGAACATACTCCCTTAAAACAAAACAACAGCACCCTACAAAGAGTTTCCATACAACAAAATAACAACCCTCCATGCCAAGCACGCACAGCACCACAAACACCATTTTATAACCATCAAAACTACCAACTTCCCACTACAGCACCCCCTCTAACCACTTCTGTTATTACAAAGAAAAAGAAATACAAAAACTTCTATACAGAAACACAAACAAAAAACCCAAATCTACAGCAAACAACTCACACATGTCCCCATGTCCCCATATGTGTCCTCATGGGCCTGTGTCCCCATACTTGTTCCCTCACATCCCCTTGTTCCCACACATATCCCCATGTCCCTGTGTCCCTATACATGTCCCGATGTCCCCACATGTGTCCCTCCCTCCGTCCCTCGGGCTGGGTTTGGAGCAAGGACAGGGACTTCCAGGTCCCACTCCTGTGTCCCCGCAGGCCACCGGGCGGGTGGCTTTGGGCACCCGGGAACGAGAACGGCCGAGGTCACCCTGGCAACAGAGGCCAGTGAAGATGACATTTTCCCAATCAATCGCCCTGTGCAATTAGCGGGCACCCCCCCTCCCTTCCAGTGTAATTAAGTGAGCGCCGGGAGGCCGGGGCGGAGGGTGTCCCTGGGGCGCCGCGGTGGCTGTCCTGGTGTGTCCCCTCCCCAGGCACCGCGGGGTTTGTCCCCGTGTGTCCCCTCCCCAGGCACCGCGGGGTTTGTCCCCGTGTGTCCCCTCCCCAGGCACAGCAGGGTTTGTCCCCGTGTGTCCCCTCCCCTGGCACTTCGGGGTTTGTCCCCGTGTGTCCCCTCCCCAGGCCCCGCGGGGTTTGTCCCCGTGTGTCCCCCCCCGGGAGCTGCCCCTGCGCAGTCCCTGCGCTCCCAGGGAAGGGTTAAACCTCCGGGCCAGGCTTTCCGCTCTCCTCGGGCACCGAGCGGCTCCAGGTGCCCCGTTCCGAGCGGCCCCGTTTGTTCGGAAATACTAATGCTAATACTAATACTAATGCTAATACTAATACTAAATACTAATACTAATACTAATTTAGGAGCGTTTCCCTGCGGGACAGGGGTTGTTCCCCAGCCTGAGGGCAGCCCCAGGAGCATCCCCCGACCTCCAGCCGCCACCTCCTGGGCTCCCATTCGTGTCCCAAACTGCCCGAAGGTGGTGCCCGGAGTGAGAGATGCCCTCAGCACGCAGAACCTGCTTCCAACGCCCAAAACCTCCCCTCACTCCCTTCCCAAAACCTGCACCACAGCGGCTGCTGCCCTCCTTCCTGCTCCTCCACGCTCCTCTTCCTCTTCCTCTGTCCCCAGCCACCCCACAGCCACCCCAGCCAGGGGACAGCTCCAGGGGGGACAGGGCTGGTCGCTGTGCTGACCCTGTTTCTTGCCCACCACCAGCCCCTGCTCCCCAGGGTGGGCAGTTCTCCTCTCCCTGGTGGCTGGAGGCTGCAGAAGGACCCCGGTCCCTGAGGTGACACAGGTGTCACTCAGCAACAGGGACCCCAGTGCCTGGGGAGCCCCCCAGCCGCCCTGCCCTGCACTTTGGGCACAGGGCCACCCCTGTGGGAGCACGGGCACCCCGCGCTGGCACCCGGGAGAGCCCAGGGCACAGAGCAGTGGCCGAGGTGCCCGGGCTCAGCACCACGGCCAAGGACCAGCCCTGCGCCCAGCCGAGAGAAGTCTGGAGTGAGGAGGAGAGCAGAGCCAGCCCTGAGGGGCTGCCCTGAGGTCCTTGTCCCCACGGGCTGTGGCAGAGGGGTGTCACTCACTGATGTCACCAGTGAGGAGCTGTCCTGCCTGCGCACACAGCCATGGGACACGGGAGGGACTCACCCCTGCCTGGGCCCAGCACTCCCCGTGCTGGAGGGGCTGGACAAAATGTGCTGAAAATCTCTTTAACGAGAGGATCGATGAGATGGTCACCTCTGAGCTGTGCCAGGTGGCTCAGGGGCAGGGAGTGACGCACAGACACCAGTGGATGTCCCTTGCTGGGGGAGATGCTGCAGGACAAGTTTGAGGAGGACTTTGGGATGCTTGAGTGCGTCTTGGACTTGATGATCTTGAAGGTCTCTTCCACCCCAGTGATTCTGGGAGTCTGTGATTCTATTCTGTGAAATCTGTGATTCTGTGAGTCTGTGAATTCTCTGATTCTATGATTCTGTGATTCTGTGGCAAGGCAGGCCCTGTTGCCAATCCTGGAGCCCTGCAGCCAGGGCTGGGTGTGCTGAGTGCTCGCTCTCAGCTGAAGGAGGGATGTGCAATGACCCTGAGCATCCCACGGGCCCCGGGCTGCCCAGAACCTCCTCCCCTGTGAGGGGGCAGCTTTGGGACCAAAGCTGCTTTGATTCAGGTTTGGGATATCCCTCCATCCTTGGGAAGGAAAGGGTGGGGGCAGGGGGCAGGGAAAGCCAGGCAAGGCCCTCCTCCAGGGCTGGGACTCACAGGGCTGTCAGGGACCCTGTGGGGCCCTGGAGCTCTCAGGACCAGACCAGCAGCACCAATTCACTGGCAGAGCTCAGACTGGGGACAGAGGTGACTTCCATGGGTATGGACACAGCGTGGAATCAGAGCTGCCCCCCTGTGAGGGGGACAAAGTGGGAGGATTTGTGACCCACCAGCACCTCTGAGCTCACCCCTCTCCTCTTGCTGGGGTGGAAATGGAGCCTTTTCCCCAGCAAGCTGCTCCCTTTCATCTCCTGGGTTTCAGCTGATCCCAGAGGGTTTTGGGAAGAGGAAGGAATGGGGTTCTGGGGTTCTCTCTGCTCCTTTGCTTCCCCCAGTTCAGCTGCAGCATCCGAGCACCAAGGTGGGAATGGGCAGTGCCAAGCCCTGGAGCCACACTCAGAGCCAGAGGCAAAGCCACCCAAAAGGGGCAAAGGCTTCAGAGAGCAAGAAAATCCCTTCTGCTGGTGATGCCCAACTCTGGCAGTGCCCTGGGAGAAAAGATCTTCCAGGGAAAAACATGAGAGATGGACACTTGAGACAGATCCTGAGCATGCTTTGGTGTCATGGAACCCCAGAGTGGTTTGGGTTGGGAAGGGACTTAAAGCCCACCCAGTGCCACCCCTGCCACGGCAGGGACACCTTGCACTGTCCCAGGCTGCTCCAAGCCCTGTCCAGCCTGGCTTTGTGTCCTCCTGTCCCTCCACGTGCCTGGGGCTGGGTGAGTGCTGCTCCCTTGGGACAAGGGCTCTTATAACCCTGCAAATCCTGCCTGCCTCCACCCTCGCCCTGGAGGAGGCTCGAAGGATCCCTGTCACACCCCAGACCCCAAAAGAGAGAGAGGAAAAAAAAAAAAAAAAAAAAAAAAAGGAGAAAAAGAAGCAAAATGTTTTTTCACTGCAGGGGTTCCCTGGTGTCACCTCGGGCCATCAGGTGAGCTGCAAGGAGGGGGAGCAAAGGGACCCTCGGGGATGGGGAGGTCACTGCCGGAGCAGGCAGTGCCACAAAAGCCACCGGAGGTGGCTGAGAACGCGAGCCAGGCGTGACTTTCGCAGCCTCCGGAGCAGCCGCTGCCATCGCCGAGCCATCAGCCGCGCGTTAAATAAAACACATTGCCTGTGAGGTCATCTAATGGCCCATTATTTTTTTATTTGAACTTTTTACCTTCACCTCTTCCTCCGTGCTGAATCAGCTCCTTGGCTTGGCACTTTCATTCCTGCCCCATTTGGGAGATTGATTGGGGCTCGGGGGGAGCCTGGCAGGGCTGGGGATGAGGCTCGGGATGGGGCAGGAGGAGCCGGGATGTGCCCGGGCACCCTCGGGATGCGGGGTTTGCACAGAGCCGGGGTCCGGCCGCTGCCCCCCGGCCCCGTTCGGTCCAGAGCGTTGGCATCGGGTTCTGTCCAAAAGGAGTGGCACCGATTTCATCCCTTTTCCTCGGGCTCTTCCCGGCGGGAGTGATGTCCCGCAGGGGCAGGGAGCAGCGGGAGCCGCGGGAGGCCGGGCTGGGCTGCAGAGCCGGCCGGGGGCACTCACAGGAGTGACTCACAGAACCAGAGCACACAGCCTCAAGCTGCACCAAGGGTCGCAGGCTGGATATCAGGAAAAAGTTTTTTACAGAAAAGGTGATACAGTTCTCCAATGGCTGCCCAGGGAAGTGCTGCAGTCACCATCCCTGGGTGTGTTTAACAAAGCCTGGATGTGGCACTGGGTGCCAGGGTTTAGTTGAGGTGTTGGGGCTGGGCTGGACTCGATGAGCTCGAAGGTCTCTTCCAACCCAGCCCAGAGGCTGTGATTCTGGGATTCTGTGAAGAGCGGCTGTGAATTGAAGGGGTCGAGGAGTCACGGAATGGTTTGGATTGGGCAGCAGCCAGGTTCCAAAAGGGCAGAGGGGGGATAGGATGGGACCCCTTGGGACTGGGTCACTCTCCTCTCAGCCCATGCCTGGGGGGCACCTGTATCACCCTGTGCCAGAGTGGTGGGGGGGAACACACCTGAGGGGCCACACTGGGACCCCACAGGGCCACCCCCAGTCCCAAGCAGCAGAATGGGGTCTTGTCCCTGCTGCTGTCACAAAATCATGGAATGGTTGGGGTTGGAAGGGACCTTAAAGCCCACCCAGTGCCGCTCCTGCAGGGACACCTTCCACTGTCCCAGGCTGCTCCAAGCCCCCTCCCTCTCACCCATAACACCCCAAGTCCTTCTCCCCAGGGCTGCTCTCCATGAGTTCATTCCCCAGCCTGTGCTCAGGGCTGGGATGCCCAGACCCACGTGCAGGACCTTGGACCTGCTGAACCCACTTCTCCATCTTGGGAAGGATCTCCTGAGAAGCCTGTCCAGCCCCTCCCAGCTGCAGGATGGCTCCAGCACCCCCCCTCCACAACCATCTGCAGGCAGAACAGTCCCAGACTCAGGAATGTGCATCTAGTCAACACTCTTTTATTAAAAACAATTACAAAAAGTTACAGGTTACAATCGTTCTGTACAACCCAACCAAACCTCTGGTGCCTGGGGAGGTGATGGCAGCCCTGGGCCAGGACTGGCTCTTACCACACCCATGGTGTGGCTGGATATGGTTCCACTCTCCCAGGGACATCCCTTGACACAGGCAACTCCCCCACACCCCCAACCCAAAAGCCTCACTTTAGGCTGGACCATGGGGGAAGGAAGGAAATGATGGAGGTCCACGGCCTGGCAGGATTCCTGCCTGCCCCAGCCCCAGGAGGTGGGAGGGAGCCAAGCAGCTGCCGAGCAGGACACAGCACACCGTGCCCACGGCAGAATGCCTGGCTTTCCCAGGGAAGGAGCTGCTGTGGGAAGGCTGGGAAGCAGGGGCTGCCTGCTGAGGAACTGGCAAGAGGCAAGAGCCATATCTGAGCCTGGCCTGGCTGCTCCAGGGACATTCCATCCCTGCAGCCAGGGGTGAAGATCAATGGGGGATAAACATGGGAAAGAGGCAGGAGCAGGAACAAACCTTCCCTCCCCAGCTGGAAGCACTGAACTGTCTCCCACAGCCTGGGCAGGACCAGCGCTGTTCCCTGCAGGCAGTGGGACACAGGGACAGCCCAAGGTGTCCCAAGGCTGCTTGGGGTGGAAGCCCCAGGGCAGGGAAGGAGCAGAGCTGGATGTGGAGCAGTGGGGGAGCAGCAGGGAGCTGCATCCCCAAAACCTGGGGTAAGGAACTGGCTGCCAGGGGAAACACAGATGGGCTCAGCAGTAGCAGGAGTCTGTACAGCCCCACTGCTCCTGGTGGCTCCTGGAGAGCCTGGCAGAGAAGTCACCTCCCTGCCTCTGAGGGCAGCAGTGGGATGCAGAGAGTTCACCAGGCCCAGCGTGGGGATGGAGCAGGACATCCCTGTCCTGGACCACAGCCCAGCCCACGCTCCTGCCCACAGCCGGGGACGGCTCAGCAGGACATGCAGGGGACACACAGCTGTCCCCAAACCAAGCAGGGGCACAAAGGAGTGAGCAGGACCTGGCTCTGACAGGAACCAAACCCCAGCAGCTGCTCTGCCCCACTGCCCCCAGACTGACACAGCCAGCCCCTGCAGGGACACAGGGACACAGCAGCCACCAAGGGACAATTCCAGCGCTGCCAGGGAGGGTGAGGGGTCACTGCTCTGGGGTGAAGGTGCTCCCTGACCCCAGCTGACAGACATGGGGTCCATGGGGACGGTTCCCCTCAGCTCTGCTGTCCCCAGCCAGCAGCAGGGGCTGGGCAGTGACCCACCAGTGCCATCCAGTCACCCCAGTGACAGTCACACTCAGCAGCTGCTTTAGTCCAGGTGCCAGACACACAGCTGGGTCCTTTGCTCTCTGCAGAACTCCCAACATGCAAACGAGGTGAAATGAAGGATTTTCCCCTTTTGCTTTGGCCTGGACCAGGTCCCTGCAGCAGGGCCAGGCTGGTGGGGAGTCCTGCACTCTGCTGAGACCACCCTTAGGTGCAACCTTCCCTGCACACCCAAAAACCTTGTTCCCTGAACACAAGCTCACTGGAGCCCTGCTGGAAGCTGAGGGTCAGGGAAGGACCCTTGTCCTACCCTGCAGTGATGGGATGCAGGCTCTCCCTGGCTCTGGGAGCTGTTTGTCCCTGTCCTGCCTCGTGGCTCCCTGAGGTCTGGGCAAGGTGGGACACTCGTGGTTTCCCCCTTTGCACTGACTGCAGAACCAGGTGCCAGCCAGTCCTCAGCAAGGAGATCACCTGGGGCACAGCAGGTGGCAATTCCCAGATCCCCTCATTCCTCTCCCTCAGAGCCTGCCTCCCTCTTTTGCAGCTCTGCAGTGGGATTGCACCAGGATCTCTTCCCAAGTGCTTGATCCTCAGCTCTTGCTTCCCACCCCAGCTACACAATCCACTCACAGCTTCCTGCCCAACCTTCTTCCATCTCCCCCCTCTCCAAACACTGCTTTGGAGTACAGAGGCAATTTAAGTTACATTTGGGGAAAAAAAAAAGTAAACAATCTACCTTGAACTGAACCAGAAAGAACCTTCTGCACATCTCCAACCTACCTCTAACAAACTTCTCCTAGGAACCAAGAAGTTCTGGTTGTGCTACTCAAAACCACCTTGCCAGGCCCAAAAGGCAGTGCTTGGACCACAGAGAATCCCTCAGGTGGAGTCTGAGGATCCGAGAGCCACCACCTGGGCAGGGGGGCTGCAGGTGTGAGTCCAGGAGTCCTGCTGGGATGGCTGGGGAGCAGGAACATGCTGCTGGCACGAGGGGACAGAGTGGCTGTGGGCATTTATTGCACTGCTTCTTCACAGAGGTGCAGGAGGACAGCAGAGACACAACGCAGGTCATCGCTTCACCTTGGCATCCTCTCTGATCTTCCACACCATCAGCTCCATGCAGGCTCTGGCATCCTCACTGGAGTCGTGTCCTTCCACTGGGGACACAAACACAGTGGCAGTGACCCCTCTGCCTGCTCAGCTCAGCTCAGCTCAGCTCAGGGAGCTCCCCAGGCGGAGACAGCTGCTCCCTGGCCCCTGCAGCCCCAGCCACACCTGGGGGCACCCTGAGCCACAGCTGGGGACTTAAAGATTCCACAGAATCACAGAATGGTTTATGGTTTGTTCTCCTGGAGCCCCTTCAGGCCCTGCAAGGAGCTTTAAGGAGTCCCCAAAGCCTTCTCTTCTCCAGGCTGAATACTCCCTATATTAAACATGTATTTTTTTCCACTAAACCCACACTTTTTGCTGGGCTTGAGCCTGACACCATCAGCTATGGAACAGCTGGGAGCTTCCCCAGCAGTGTTTACAGTGTGCTCAGGGAAGACAGGAGGGAACAGGCCCCACTTCCAACAGGAGGTTCCATCCCAGCTGGCCAAAGAGAGAAGGGAGGGCAGGACCTGACCTTGGCAGAGCCACCCTTGGCCTTCCCACACCACTTCCTTTGTCCCACTCAGCACAGGCAGGGAAGCAGGGAGAGCTCTGACCTCGGAACAGGGGCCATACAAATGAGCTGTGGCTGAGGCTTCTTACGCCAGCACATTCCCAGCTACCACACTCATGCAGGGCAGAAAACACCAGGGGCAAGAGAACTGGGGAGAGCAGAGGAAGGCAGGGCTGAGGAGAGCAGAGCAGGAGGAAGGGGGTCCCTGCGAGGCCTCACCGTTGTCCTGGATGATGCGTTTGAGGTAGTCGGCCATCAGCGTGCGCAGGGCCCGCTTGTAGGGCAGCCCCAGGCGGTGGGGGAACACGATGGCTGTGTCCACCACAGTGCCGTGGATCAGCTGGGGAGGAGCAGAGGAACAGGGTCATTTCTCCACTCCCACAGGGACAGACAGGCACTCCTTGGGATTAGCCATGCTGCAGCAACCTTCCGGTCACCTCTGGGCTCCGTGACCGCTCTCGGCAGCTTCCAACCCAACCAGTCTGGCAGGAGGCTCTGGCTGGATCCAGGATGATTCCCCTTGCAGGGTGTGGGCACACAGCATTCCCACTGCTGTGCCAGCCCCACAGCCCTGGAACCTCACATGCAGGAGGTTTCCTGAATCTCAGCAGAGACTGGGGCTGATCCAGTTTGTGTAACTCCAGCAGGACAGGTCAGTCCTTAATGCCCCAGCCGGGAGAAGCTGGAATAGCTCTGGAGTCTTTCCCAATTAAAAACTAAACTGAAGAACCAGCTGACTGCAGAATAGCCCCTGTGGGAGTTGTAGCAACCTTTCAGCTGCTTCTCAGTCTAGTGAGTGGCACCCTGCCTGTGGCAGAGCACTGGAACTGGGTAATCCTCGTGGTGCCTTCCAACCAAACCATCCTGGGATTCTAAGATGGGGACAGAAGTGGGCAGGATGTGCACACATGACAAAGCAGGATGTACATCACACTGCTGCTACAGAGCAGGCCTGGCCTTCAGGGTGCAAACGAACCCCAAATCCTCCCATCCACCAGCAGTGACTCAACAGGAAGTTTTTAACCAGCACCAGCTCAGCAAGGGTGGAATGGGACAAGGAAATTCTATCACTGAATCATAGCAGAGAGTGTTTCCAGTTGGGACTTTTCAAAGGGCTTCCATTCCATCCCTGCCATGGTGGGACAGCTTCCACTGTCCCAGGTCACTCTAAGCCCCAATGTCCAGCCTGGCCTTGGACACTGCCAGGGATCCAGGGGCAGCCAGAGCTGCTCTGGGCACCCTGTGCCAGGGCCTGCCCACCCTCACAGGGAACAATTCCTGCCCAAGATCCCATCCAGCCCTGCCCTCTGGCAGTGGCAGCCATTCCCTGTGTCCTGTCCCTCCAGGCCTTGGCCCCAGTCCCTCTGCAGCTCTCCTGGAGCCCCTTCAGGCCCTGCCAGGGGCTCTGAGCTCTCCTTGGAGCCTTCTCTTGTCCAGGTGAGCACCCCCAGCTCTGCCAGCCTGGCTCCAGAGCAGAGGGGCTCCAGCTCTCTAATCCAACAGCTCAGCTAAGAATTGTCACCACGGTGGAGGAACTGAGGATGCTGAACAGATCAAAGTGCTCCCTGCCCTGCACCAAGGGGGCTAGGGACAGCCAAAAGGCCCCACCTGATAAAGTCCATAAACACAGGGCAGGCTGGCTTTTTTCTAACACTGATTTCTTCCTCTCAGGCTAAGACAAGAAGAATTCTCTGCTGTCATGATCTGCATTCAGTGGGAGCTGAAGGAATGTGGGTGAAGGCAATCCCATATCCTGAGCACAGGAGTGAAGGGCAGGGCCTAAGAGATAAACCTGTGTCCTGTCCCAACAGGAATGACTCCAACAGGACCCTGATAATCCCCTCTCCTCTCTGCCTCCAGGCACCAGCTCACGTTACAGGACAACCCATAACTCCATCAGTAACAGCTCCACAACTGCACTTTAACAGGAACAACCTGCTCCACTCCTCGGAATATAAAACTGCCAATGTTATGGATAATCTCCCCTGGACTGCACTCAGCCCTGGCACCCTCCCAGACACACTGGTAATTACTTATGTAGATCAGGAAGAGTGAGGAAACAGGATAATAAAGCTTTAAATAAAACTTGAAATGCCATCAGCACTTGGAAGTTGCCACAGCCATTAGTGAGATATGGCTTTAGTGCCACAGCCCTGGGCCATTCTGCTGTGACACCCCACGGCTCTGCTGGATTGCTCTGGGCTCCTCCTCTTGGCAGCAGCTGAGGTGCTAAGAGAAAATCAAGCCTCTAAGAGGCCAAGGCAGTCATCTCGAGCTGATCTAACTGGAAATAATGTCTTTCTGATTATGATGAAGCCTCTCCAAGGCTGGGATAAAGGGTGCCACGGAGAGGTAAAGTGTTTTACAGGCCTTAAAAGCTCCTGCTTCCAACCCAGCCCTGGGAGCTGGCAGCCACAGAGGCTTCAGCAGGAGAGCTGTGGGACAAAGAATGGTTGAGGGAAGTTCTGGCATGTGAGCACAAAGACTTGGCTCCTGCCTGCCACACGCTCTCCTGGTGACCCAGGACAAAGCCCTGGGGCCTCAGTGCAGGACAGATTCCCTGGCAGGACAGCAGAGGTGGCTGAGGGATGGGCACATCAGGCTGATGAGGGCCAGGCAGGAAACAGGACAGGTAAAAGGTCGAAGTAGCTTCACCAAAGTAACATCACAATTGCTGGAAAAGCTGGCACAGAGCAGAGAACAGATCAGGCAGGGGTGAAAGGCAAATGATTTGGGATCAATCATGGAATCATGGAATGGTTTGGGTTGGAAGAGACATTAGAGACCATCTTGTTCCACCTTCCACCAGACCAGGCTGCTCAGAGCCCTGTCCAGCTCTGTCACCCTGGGCAGCAGCAGCCACTAAAAGCTGAGGTGACACCATGAGTGACAGACATGACCCCACCCCCCTGCACTTCCACCACAACCAGCTTCACACAGGCTCAGAGACTGGACAAACCATGGAATCCTGGAATGCTCTCAGTGGGAAAGGACCCTCAGGGATGCTCAGCCCAGCCCCTGTCCCTGCACAGCCACCCCAACAAGCCCACCCTGAGCACCCCTGGCAGCGCTGTCCAAACGCTCCTGCAGCTCTGGCAGCCTTGGGGCCGGGACCATTCCCTGGGCAGCCTGGGCAGTGCCAGCACCCTCGGGGCCAAGAACCTTTCCCTGAGCTCCATGCCAAGCCCTGGCACAGCTCCAGCCCTTCCTGGCCTCCTGTCCCTGGTCATGAGAGTGAAAAGATCAGCCCCTGCCCCTCCTCTTCCCCCATGAGGATAGTGAAGACCACAACGAGTCTCCCCTCAGTCTCCTCTAAGCTGAACAAACCAAGTACCCTCAGCTGCTCCTCATGAGGCCCCTCCAGACCCTTCCCCATGCTCACAGCTCCTCTGGACACTCTCTAATGCGGGCATGGCTTTTTTACATTGTGGTGTCCAAAACTGCACACAGGACCTGAGGTGAGGCCACCCCCTGGTCCTTGGAAATAAACAGTTCCTAAATTTGAAGGAGACACCTAACACCCCCCAGGGTGGGAAAGCACCACAGGGAGACATGAAAGCAAGAGCCCAAGTTACCTTTAGTGCAAATAAGTCGCTTTCCAAGCTGTGCCCTATCAGTATGGTGTCTGCACTGAACATGTTCAGTAGGACAGCTTGGACATCCCGCAGGGTGATGCTCGTGTTCTCCAGGTCCTCTTCTGTCACACCTGAGAACCTGCAGAGCAACAGCACACAGGTGGGGGTCCTTCACTTGAAGAAACACCTCAAGGCCCAAAGCCCCTCAGCCCTTAGGGAGTGGTGGTCAGTGGAGTTTCAACAAGTGCTGCCAGCCACACCAAGTTCCTGAGAGAGCACAAAGCTCTGTCCCAAGGAAGACCATCCTCAGCTGGTGTTACAGCCCTCACCTGGTGTTGTAATCCACCACCTTGGAGTCAGGCTTGACAAAGGTGTCATACACCACTTTCAGCTCTGAGTTGATCACAGTTACTCTCGTCAGCTCCAGTCCTTGCTTAGTGTAGCACTGCAAGAACAGGGCAGATGTGATGAGGGGCACAGGCCAAAAAGTGTGGGATCTGTGGAGCCCCTCCCCCAAGGGCTGCAGCTCCCAAACTGCAGCACATCTGGTGCAGCAAGGCCAGGCAGCAGCACTGCCCAGCGTGGGCCAGTCAGAGCCTGTCAGGGCTGCACAGCCCTCAAGCCAAACACACCAATCAATAAGAGCTCATTTACACCTCCAGCACCAATATTCAGAACAGAGAGAATGAGGTCAGCAAACAGCTTCCCTTCAGCCACTCGTGTCACACCTCAGGCAGCCCCAAAAAGCTTTGTTTTGGCTTTAGACCCACCATTTCACAGTCTAAGGCATAGATCCCAGGGTAGCCATCAGTCGTGGGCAGCTTCTCAAAAGTCTTCACAAAGCCATCCAGGCTCTCCTTGCGCCCATCGTGCACGTGTTGCTGAAAGGAAAAGCCAGGGACAGCTGGTGATCACAGGAATAAGAAGCCAAAGAGCCCACTCCCACAAACCTCCACTTCAACAAAAGCGGGGTTTTAATAACTTCTTAATGAGGAATAAATTTTGAGAAGTTCACAACCACAGAAAACACAGCCATGGGCAGCCCTAATTCCAGTGGCACATCAGGGCTGGTGGCATCCTACTGACAGCACATGCAGGAGCAGGACATCACGAGTCTGGGGAGAAGGAGTTTTCAATCTGGAGCAGAATTAGTCAGGAAGGGTCACACTGAGGCCTGACTCTGCTGTAACTCCAGCTCCTGGCTCCAAGACAAGGCCAGGTGCAGGATCCTAAGCCCAGACATCCCTGTGTGAGCAGGAGCAGCCAGCCAGCTCCAGAGCGATGTGTGCATCCACACACTGCACTCCACACCCAGCCAGCCCACACCCACAGGAGCTCCAGCCCACCAGCTCTTGAGGCAATAAAGGGCATTTCCAAGCACTCTGCACTGTTCCCAGCTAAAGCTCCAGGGTCAACAAGATCCAGCAGGAAAACTCAGGGAGTGATTTCACAAGTGGTTTTAGCCAGTGCATGATTGAGCTGCTGTTGCAACACAGGCACTCCCACACTCCTGCACAGCACAGACCCACTGGTTCTCCTGAAACCTTCCTGGCAAGCAGGGGTTCTGAGCTGGAGGAAGTTTAAAGGGGAAGCAGGAACAGGTAACAGAGAGCAAGGCAGAGCTGGGACTGTCCTTCTACTTGCTGACACAGTTCTAGGTAAAACCAACCTGCACCACACCCAGGGGTGATGCTCTCCCTTCCTTATTCCCCAATGGAGTTTTCTGTTGTGTTTAAATTTTATCTGTCCCTAAATCCCCTTGTATTTGTGTACAACCACAGCAACGTGGGCACAGCCTCCTTTGCCATGTCCAAAACCATGGAATCACTGAATCCCTAAGGCTGGAAAGGACTCCCAAGATCATCAAGTCAACCCAGCAGCCCCACAATGGTCACCACCAAACCACATCCCCAAGTGCCACACCCACACGGTTCCTGAACACTCCCAGGGATGGTGACTCCACCACTGCCCTGGGAAGCCTCTTCCAATGCTTTACAAACCTTTCTGTGAAGGAATTTTCCCAGTTTCCAACCTAAACCTCCCCTGGCCCAGCCCGAGGCTGTTCCCTCTCCTCCTGTCCCTGTTCCCTGGAGCAGAGCCCGACCCCACCCCGGCTATCCCCTCTTTTCAGGGAGTTGTGCAGACCCAGAAGGTCCCCCTGAGCCTCCTTTCCTCCAGGCTGAGCCCCTTTCCAGCTCCCTCAGCCCCTCCTGGGGCTCCAGACCCTTCCCCATTTCCGTTCCCTTCTCTGGACACACTCCAGCCCCTCAATGTCCTTCTTGTCATGAGGAGCCCCAAACTGACCCCAGGATTTGAGGTGGGGCCTCAGCTGTACCCAGGACAGAGCTTCCCATTGGTCTCACCCTACAAAGAATGAAACTGTTCTGGTTTGTCCCAGGATTAAAGGCTGGACAGAGGAGGAATTGAGGTCCTTGTAAAGCAGCCGTGTGTGGGCAGGGAGGAAAGCAAAGCAGGATTTGCATATTTTCCTGCACAGGTCACTACTGCAGGTGCAACCAGAGCACAGGAACTGCATCATTTGAAGTTAATGAGGCAGCTGGGCCAACACTGAGGCCAATCTCTCCCTGATTCCACAGCCAGCACTGCTCAAAGGCCTCATGGATCACTGCTGCCCTGGTGCAAGGGGCTGCACTTGTCCACTCTGCACCCATGGCATGGAACTGCTCTGTGAGGGAATGGGGAGAGCAGCTCAGCAGCCAGGAGACACCAAACACTTCTCCCTTGCAGCTTCAGCCTTCCCTCCCTGTGTAAAACAACAGAACTGGGCAGTGAAGTGAGGAAAAAAAAAAAAAAAAAACACAAACCAAAACAAAAAACCCCAGGTATTTTTTATATTAGTTATTTTTGTTGTCCTAAAAATGCCCAATTCTTCCTGGCTGGGAGGAGGGCAGGGAAGTTGCTCCGGTTTTTGAGAGCCAAGGAAGCACAAAGAGCAGCCTGTGCAGGCTCCCTGGAGCAGCACAGCTCCCTCCTGCCATCTCCTGCCTCTCTGCCTAACTGCAGCAAACCCAGCTCACTCCACAGTGAGTGTCAAACACCGCATTTTCCTACCATTGCAGAGGAAAACAATTTAAGTTGCACTTGTTTTATCCCCATAAAGGAAGCCACTGTTCTTCTAAAGGCTTAAGCAAGGATTTCCCACCCTTGTGCTTGGACACACACACACAGAAGCTTTTCTAACCAGCTTACTGCTCCAGTTACTGAGAATGGTCTCATTACAAACATTTTCTGCTTTCAAAGCCCTTCTTCAACACTGAAGGATTCTGTGCTTCCCAATACCCCAATATCCAAAAATTTCACTGCATGCTCTGATGCTGAGCAGGCTGTGGATTCAACCTTGAATCTACCAAAGGGTGCTGTGAAAACTGGGGACTTATAAAAAGGAGGGAGAGGGACTTTTTATACTGGTATGGAGTGACAGGACACAGGGAATGGCTTCCCACTGCCAGAGGGCAGGGATGGATGGGATATTGGGAAGGAATTGTGAGGGTGAGGAGGCCCTGGCACAGGGTGCCCAGAGAAGTGATTAAAAAAAAATCCTAAATTCCTGTGGAAAATAAAGAAAAGTAATAACCTGATCCCATCCAATCCAACTGTGCAGGGCAGGCTTTTATGGTGTAAACAAATAAATTATAACAAACCTTGAATTTTGCCCAGAATCACCTTCTACCTCTAGCTTTTGCTTCTTCCCTGTGTGGCAGGTGCCAAATATAAAAATGCCACTAAAACAAGTGACAAGGAACATGCCCAGAGACCTGAGAGAAAGGCACAAGACAGACTGGGGATGCTGGCTGGGACACCAACTCTCCTGCTGCCTAAGGGCAAGAAAAAAGCACCTGTGCAAAGGTACCCAGACAGTGCTCTGCTCTAGCAAACTCCACACCTGAGAAGCTTCTTCATTCTTTTTTCTAGTGCTGGGCTTCCTCAAAAGAAGTTTTGTGATATTTTGGAGTTACAACAGGCTCCTTGGGAAGGTTCATCCCCTCACTACAACCAAGGACAGGCAACAAACAGAAAACTTGTCAGAAAAGATTTGTCCACCAGGATAAAGTTACCTTAGCATGGGAATCTGGAAAGGGAAAAAGGGTTTGCCACACTGTTGCCAAGGCCCTGAGACTGCTCCTTAAAAGGAAATCCCTTATTTCTCATTCCTTCTGTGATCCACTAAAGAACATGAGCTTTTCTATGTCCCTCAAGCAGATGAGCTGGGCAGCTCAGGATAAATGAACCCAGCTCACTCCAGACAGCTGAGTGTCAAATACTGGATTTTCCTACCACTGCAGAGCCAAAAAAAAAAAAAAATTATAGTTGCACTTGTTTTATCCCCTTAAGAGAAGCCACTATTCTTCTAAAGGCTTAAGCAAGGATTTCCCAGCCACTGCCACTGTGAGCAGAGCACAAATGTCACTGAGAATAAAGAGGTGTTGTTCCATCACTTACTTTAGCAACCTGGCAGCCTGGTGACCCCACAGCTCCGGAGCAGCAGCTGTAGTGAGTTTCCCACCCACCTGGCACTGAAAGAGTAAGAGATGAAGGGTCAAGGAGAAGGCTCTTGTTAACAAGAGACCTGAACTTCAGCTTTCACGTGCAGATCCCCTGGATAAGCATGACAAAAATGTGTCAAACACAGGGGGAAAATAACTGTGCATTCACAGGCAGCAATCTAAAGGGTTTAAGTCTCTGGTACTCAGCCAGACAAACTCCAGAAGCCACTCAGATGCTCTGATGGAAAACCAGAGCAGAGCTCAAACTAGGTTAGTGCCTTGCTGCAAATGAATTCAACCACGATCAGTGAACTCTCCTGGGAGTGACAGACCTCTAGTGCTCCCAGTCAGCCTTTTAAAGGTCCGATTCTTTCAAAAAGCACAGGAAGGTTTTTTCCTTTATTTTTCTGAACAAAGATGAAGCACCTCTGCTGCAGCCCCAGTGTCACATTCTGAGGCAGCCAAGCCCGGCAGCTCTTTGCGAGGTCATTGCAGTGACAGGCACAAAACTGCCACCACCTGGGAGCGTGACAAGCCCCAAAATCAAGCTCAAAGCTGAGGGAGACCCTGTGTTAGGAGCTGGAGCAGGCAGCAGGGGCCACTCCCCCGGCAGGGCTGTACCTCTCTGCTTGCGCAGCCGCCCCCAGTGATGGACGCACTCCTCCTTGCGGATGCAGCTCCCCGAGGCTGACACCATGTACTCGGTGCCACAGCGACAGCAGATCCTGCACGAGGCTTGGGGACAGGAGACAAACAACAGCCAGGTCACTGGAAGCAGCCCTTCCTACCCCTCACCTGCTTAACCTGGCCAAAGCAAAGTAAATCACCACCACTCCAGCCCCAAGTGCTGTTAAATGATGTTTTCTGTTCAAAAGGATTCCAAATGTTGTTGCAAACTCCTGCAAAGGCACAGCAATCCCTCTGAAATCTGCCCCTCCAAACATTTCCCAGAGGCAAACACAAAGACTCTCCAGTGGCTTTGGCCCACATAAGCTGCCCCCAAGGTTTGCTGCATTGTTTCTCCATGCACAGCAAATTACGTTGGAGTGTAACACAGTTATTTTAAGAAACAGGATAAATAAGTCATTCTTTGGACACCAGAGCTAATGAAGCCTGGTTTCCAGGGGATCTGTGCCTTGTCACTTCCAAATGACATTTTAGCTCTTCTAGGGCACAGCTTTTCTGTCAGGATTTTCCAGCAGCTAAATGAAGGAGCACTTAGGGCAGGGCCTGGCAGTCTGCAACTGTCCCCTCCTACCACCTCTGCTTTTACTGCCCAAAATGTGGGGAAGGGAGATGCAAAAAGCCACTGGGAAGGAGCTATCATTCTTCTGATCTCCATGCAACTCCATGATTCCACCAAAATGCCATTTTGGTGTGAGCATTAAAGCTGTTAGCACATTTCCAGCTCTGCCCAACTGGTCACAGTGGCATCAACAGCTTTAGTTAAACAAGGAGAAATTCAAAGATCCTGCAACATCTGCAGGAAACTACAGGAGCAAAACCAGGAACATGAGCAAAGGTTCATATAAAGAAGCTGGCTGGTTCCCGGGAAAAAAAGGACTCTCACAAATACAGCACTTGACAGTGTTAATGCAAGAGAGCTTTTGCCCAGGTTGCTTCAGCAACCACAGGACAAATGTAGGCACAAGGTGTTAACATGGATGAGCACTTAACACACTTTAGTGAGGTCTCTCCACACACATGCTCAGGGGAGCGTGACAAAGCACCTCAACAGAAATCACCAGTCTGGCTTTTATCCCTGCTGCAGCACAGGCTGCTTTAGGCAGGGGCTGAGGAGCAGAAATCTTGCCATGAGTTCAGGAAATTCAGAGGAGGACCCATCCTGTCCTGAGGAAACCTGTGGGTTCAAGGCCAGCTTGGATGTGGCTTGGAGCAACCCAGTCTGGTGAAGGTGTCCCAGGGGGTGGAATGAGCTGGGCTTTAAAGTTCCTTCCAATCCCAACTATTTTGTGATTTTATGATCACTTTGTCCAGCTGCACAAAGGACTTTGGGGAACTATTTGGCCCAGCAGTGCCACGAGATCAAATAGAAAACTCTGCAATCCAGAGCAGCACAGCAGGACCCACTGCAAAGCCAGTCTGGCCCAGTGTCAGTCCTCATCCCACCTTAACAGCAGCTCACACAGACAGAGACGGAAAAAAATCCTTCCCCTGGGAGAGGGGAGGGTCACCAAGTGCAGAACAGGAGCCTCTTTCCAACCTGCTCAATTGCTGTTCCTTTGGCAGCACAGAATCCTGGAATTGCTGAGGTTGGAAAAGACCTTTAAGATCAAGTCCAACCATCAGCACCCACCACCATGGTCAGCACTAAACCATGTCCCCAAGAGCCACATCCACACATTTTTTCAACATTGACTGGGTGATGACTCCACCACTGCCCTGGGCAACCTGTTGAATGCTTCACAACCTTTTCCAAGAAGAAATTTTCCCTTATATCCCATCTAAATCTTCCCTGCAACTTGAGGCCATTTCCTTTCATCCTGTCACTTGTTACCTGGAAATCAGAAATTAGAAACTTCCCTCAGCCCCACAGACTATAAACTCTGGGTCAAAAACAGCATTCTCAGGATGTGAAAGCTGAAGAAACTCTCCATGCAGCAGAGCTCTGCAGCCACACTCCCCATCCCAACAGGACCAAGGGGCAGCTCCTGCTGTGTTCAGCAAACCCTGCAGTAGGAAAGAACCAGCAGAGCTTACAGTCAATCACTTTCTTCTCCTCTGCAGTGAAGAGCACAGCCCGTCCAGCCTTCTCAGGGTGAGGCATTGGGTACCCGTTCTCCTTGAGCTGCTCCTCAGTCATCAGGTACTCCTTGAGGCGTCGGTACAGGGCAGCTCCTGCACACAAACACAGAGCTCAGCTCTCTGCACCAAAGCACTGCCTGTTTCTCTGCCTTTACCAAGTCTCCTGCCTTCATAAACTGAACTTCCCCCACTATTCTGAACTTGCTTCTACTGCCTCAGCTCAGGATGGACAGGGGAGTAGGTGTTGGGTGGCACTTTTAGTATCTGGCCCAAGTTGATTTTTAAACACCTTCAACAAGGAGCATTAAGTCTGGAAAGCACAGCTGGAACAGAATTCCTCCAAAAGGCTCATCTTCAGCCTTGCTGTTACTGATAGAACCAACCCAATCTGGATTGCAAGGGACCTTGGAGATCACCCCATCCCATCCCTGCCATGGCAGGCACACCTCCCACTGTCCCAGACTGCTCCCAGCCCTGCCCAGCCTGGCCTTGGGCACTGCCAGGGATCCAGGGGCAGCCACAGCTGCTCTGGGCACCCTGTGCCAGGGCCTGCCCACCCTGCCAGGGAACAATTCCTGCCCAATATCCCATCCAGCCCTGCCCTCTGGCACTGGGAGCCATTCCCTGTGTCCTGTCACTAAACATGAGACTTCTCCCATTTCAGTGTTTAAATGCAACAGCTGATAATTGGTAACACAGCCCTCAAATACCCCTCAAAGGCCACCCACAGCTCCCTAAAAACTTAATTATCAGAAGTTTCTTCCTGCTACTGATTTCAGGCTGCTTGTTTAATTTCACAGAATAATTATAACTTCTTGCACTCTGCTCAATATCTCCTTTGGCTGCTGCATTAAACCCTTCCAATATTCCTGGGTGCCCTTTGATGTTGCTTAGCTGAGCTATATTGGCCCTTTTAAGCTTTCTCAATGTCAATTCCTTCTGCTCCGTGGCCTCCCTGGCTCTTCTCTGATCTCCTCCACAATTTGCCTACATCTCTTGGCAACCAAAATACCCATAACTGATTTGAGCCCACATGAAAAATGCTCGTGGCACAACCCTTTGGCTACGATACGACCTTACTGTGACATTGGTGAAAGTGAAACTGAGCCCTGCAGAGATGGAGATTTTTAAGTTTGCCTTTTAATCTGACAGGCACATTGTAAAGAACTGCTTCAGGGCAAGAAAGTTGAAGTAAAATAATGCCCAAAGCACAAGAGGCAGCTCTGAATGGTTATTGATGCTCCATCAAAGCCAGCCAGGCTGCAGCAGTGACCTCAGAGCCCCAGCGAGGACACAAGGAGGGCACTGGTCAGTGGTGTCACCATCTCCCAAGGGACTCTGCAGCCCTGTGATACAGGCAGAGAACAGAGAAATCCCAGCACTTCAGGTCATAAAATCCTGAGTGGAAGGGACCCACAGGGATCACTGATCCAGCCCCTGGCCCTGCACAGCCACCCCAACAAGCCTACCCTGAGCACCCCTGGCAGCGCTGTCCAAACGCTCCTGCAGCTCTGGCAGCCTTGGGGCCGGGACCATTCCCTGGGCAGCCTGGGCAGTGCCAGCACCCTCGGGGGCAAGAACCTTTCCCTGAGCTCCATGCCAAGCCCTGGCACAGCTCCAGCCCTTCCTGGCCTCCTGTCCCTGTCCCAGAGCAGAGCTCAGCCCCTGCCCCTCTGCCTCCCCTGGGGAGGAGCTGCAGCCCCCGAGGAGCCTCCCCTCAGTCTCCTGTGCTCCAGCTGAACGAGCCAAGTGCCCTCAGCCGCTCCTCAGAGCCTTCCCCAGCTCCGTGTCCCTCCTTTGGGCACTCTGCAACAGCTTTGGATCCTTCTGACAGTGTAGTGGTTAAAGTGCCCCCACAACTCGAAGTGAATGCATCAGCCTGATCCTCACCCCCCAGTCAGTGTCACACCTCAGCTCTCCCCTCACAAGTGACAGCCCAGCAGGAGCAGGGTCTGACCTGTCAGATCCTCGGCTCTCAGGCTCCCTGAGCGGTTCAGAGTGAAGCTGGTCTTGGCAGCAAGCTTCCCTCCCAGCACAGCCTCGTGGGACACCACCTTCTTGTTACTTGTCTCTGCAAGGAGAAGGGAACAGCACAGGGGGACAGAGATCAGGTACCCAGTGGGTGACTCCAGTCCTAGTTTGGGACACTACACATGGGCAAGAGGAGGACAGTGTTTATTCTCTTTAACTCTTGTTTTGCTCCAGAAATGGATTCTTTGTGCCACATGCTGGCCCAGCATTTCCATTCCAGCACCACAGAGAGTATTCAGTTCACAGTGCCAGCCCACAGCCATTTTAAGGGCAGCAAAGACACTTTTCCAGTTCTGCTAGAAACTTGTACCTCTCCCTGCTCACTCTGCACAGCAAGCCCTCCAACTGACCCAAAGCAAGAGAGGAGACAGCACAGAAACAACTTGACCCCTTCATGTGCTGTGTGAGGGTATCACCCACCCCCAGGAAGCAGCTTTGATTCTGGGGCCCTGCAGACCAACCTCCCACGCAGGATCCTTCAGCTTCTTTCAGAAAGGAGCTTCAGAGCTCTAGAATATGCTCAACACATCAGACAATGGCAGAGAGGGGCTTTTTACTAATCATTAACTGGCAGCCCTCTCCTAAAGGCCAGCCTCCAAGTTCAGCTGCTCTGCCTAATGGCCAGGAACGTAATGAAGACAGAGGGGAGAAAAGGGAAGAGACCAAAGAAAAAAAAATTCACAAGAACAGCACAAATTGATTGTTTAATGTACCCTCTCGAGAGCCAATAATGAAATGTCTTAACCCTCTTCGTTTCTCTCTTGAAGCTTAATGTGTGTAACAGATTTCTGTGGTGATGGACGAGTCTATCACTTTGAAGGCATCATGTGAAAGTTACTCCATTAGCAGGGCTTTTCATTTGAAAGAACTTGTGCTAAAAAAAAAAACCCACCCGTGTGACATTATCTCCATTTAGGCTGAGAAAGCCAACAAAGCATTGCAGGACCTGCCTCTTGAAGGCCCATTAAGGCTTGCCAGGCTATAAAAAGCTAAACTGGAGCTGTTTGCCTTTCAGCATAATGCTGCTGAGAAATGGGTTCTGGCTTTTCAAACAAGTTTCTCTCTGTGGTTTGTAATCCCAGCAGGGCTCCAGCTGCTCAGCTGCAAGGTACCTACTGTTGGTGCTGGCTGGGGAGTTGGGCACGAGGCTGCGGAGCTTCTTCAGGGTGTTCACGGCCACGTTCAGGTAGATGTTGCGACTGGTGCTGCGCTCGTAGGCCACCTTCTCCTCTGCCAGGGCCTGGGAACAGCACAAGTCATCACCACACACTCTCTTCCACTGTTCACAGAACCCCAGAATGGTTTGGGTTGGGAGGAACCTCAAAGATCACTTTTTTCCACCTTCCACTATCCCAGGTTGTTCCAAGCCCCATCTGACCTAGCCTTGAAAACTTCCAGGGATGGGGCAGGCACAGCTTCCATGGCTTTGGGAGAAAAGAAATGTTTGGCTCTTAAATACAGACTCCAAGTAGTGATGCCTCAGGTTTGAGCTTTTCTATTTTTCAGTCCCTATTTTATTCTTTACCTCTGCCCAGCCTCTGTTCTAGGTCAGCCTACACTATCAGCAGAGATTAAAAAAAAAAAAAAAAAAATTGTCTGACAAGGAATTGAGTAATAAAGCAGAATATGGCAGCAATATGTACCTGTTCAGGTAAGTAAGAAGAAAAAGAAGTAATTTTATTTTAAACAAAGTGCTGGAAAAATCACTTTTATGTGAAACTTTCCTGAAGAGATTAAAAAATTCAAACTTTAATATATTTTAAATTGGTATCATCCCTTCTCTTTCCCCCAGTATAAAGTCTGCTGCCACCTTGGCTTAAGTATTCCAGAGCTGCTCTTGCTCCCAGGAATATCTAACCTTGCCATGTTTTCATCAAGTAATTCTTTATTCTTGTTCTTGGAACTGCCTGGGCAAGGCAGCTTTCCCCACTTTGGTGCAGTGCAAGATCTTAACTGATAAGAAAAGCAGGTTTGGCAAATGGTGACTCCTTGGGAAGGTGGAATCCCACAAAAGAAATCCTCGTGATGTCTGCTTTGTTTTGCACATACCACACAATGTCCCACATTTACCCAACTCAGGGCCAAGCTTTTCCAAGAAAATGCATTACTCTCTCCACTCTGCTTCTGGAAATCCTACTATACTGTCCCTACTGCTAGAAGGCTCCTTAATAGTCTCCTTAACAGCCTTCAGAAGCAGCAAGGAACCAATTCCCAACCAAACACATCTATCCCAAACACTTCCCTGTGCCCAACACTTTGATTCCAGGAGGTGTTTCTGGCTGCACCAGAGTAGAAGGTCTTTGACCACAATGCACATTCCTCTGAACGTCTCTGTTGGAGTTATTAAAGGGTTCAGGCAAGCTTTCCAAATTAAGAGAAAGATGGGATTTCCTACTGGAAGCCTCCACAGGAATGACACTTGCTGTTGCCCAGTCTGATAATATTTAATGCCAGTTTCCTCAGTTGTGGATAAGGGAATCTTCAGGGAATCAGGGAATGGTTTGGCTTGGAAGGGACCTTAAGATCATCGAGCTCCCACCCCCAAGTTTCTGCAAGCATAAATGCAATTCAGTTTTCTGGATTTGCTATCATTTTAGAAGGTCTTGGCCAAGGCAGAGGATGCCATTCCCTGCTGCAAACGTTATTCCTGAGAAGAGGGATCTGTACAGACCTTGTCGAAGGCTTCCTGGGAGGAGGAGCAGAATTTCAGGCACTCATCAATGAAGAGATTGAGATACCTCTGACGAATGTTGGTTGGGACTTTAGCACCAAATTCTGTGGGAATAACAGGCCTCTGTAAAGTGGTGCTCTGGAGGTGAGACAGAGAGAGAAAGAGGCTGGTCAGGCTCCAGGAGGTTGCTCTGAGGCTCTCCCACTTCCTGTTATTAATCATGGGGTGACTTCCTTTTTGAAAATCTGCCCAAAGCCAAACTTAACACACAGCACTTTTGGTACTAAAAATACCACTTGAGGCTTCACCACCTTCAGAGCTCCAAGTCTTTTAGAAAACAGCTGTATTTCACTCTGAAGTCAGCCAGGAGCCAAGGACTCCAGTGGCATTAGTCACACAGCACTCCAGAGCAGGGCATGCTGACATTTCCAGTGAGAGGTCCAAGGTCAGGATGGCACCAAGCACCACTGGAGCCATGAACACACACCACCAGTTATGGGAACCATAGACAGGTTTGGTTCTCTGGCTCTGAAGAGAGAACAGAAGGCCCCTCCTGCCAGGCTGGCAGTCACTTATCCTACCCCCACCTCCTGGGGCATTCCTGCAGATTGACTGCACTGGTGGTTTTCTTCCTTTTTTAATGCCAATCGTCATGTTCCTAAAAGGATTTACCCCTTCAATTTAATGGTAGGTTCTTCAAAATCTGCATGTTGGACTGAGCTATGACCCACCACTGCAGCTTTCCATTCCACACCAGTTTATCCCCCACATCACAGCACACTTGCCTCCTTTTCAGAGAGGAAAATGTTCATTCATCTCTAAAACACCCAATTGTTTTGTCAGTTGTTCTCCATCCCACCCAAGAGATACCCATAAACCAATCCATCTGCTGCACTCTGGAATAAAAACAGCTCTGTGGAAGATGTGAGTTTGTTCCAAGGGGAGCAACTGGTCCTATCTCAATGGGAAAAGTGCTCATGTTCTCCTGAAGACTCTCACCTTGATGCCCTGTTCAAGGGGATTTGCTATTTTCCATTAAATGTATAAATTCTGAACCTCTAATATTATATCCTTAAGCACCTCTGTAACTCTGCTAAATATTGCATCTTTTCAGTGATTTCTCTTATTTTTAATCAGCTTCAAGTTCTATGTTACTATGGTGGCAGTTTGGGTGGGAAAGGAAAAAAAAATACTTTTTACTCTTCTAGAAATAACCAGAGCAAGTTATGATAGACCTTGACACAAATGATCATCAATAAAGGGATCTTTAATCAAGTCCTGGCATTAACCAGTTCTGCCATCCACTCCAGCAAACAGCTCCTTATGGAATCCCCAGGCTGCTCCAGGAGGAATTCTGCTCTCAATTAGCAAATAACAGCTTCCCAGTGCTCATGGAAAGAGGGACTTAACAGAATCCCAGAATGGTTTGGGCTGGCAGTGGCAGCCATTCCCTGGGTCCTGTCACTTTGCTTAGGAACTCATAGCAAAGGTACCCAAATGCTGGGCTGAGTTCCCAGGGGGTAAAGAGAAACAAAACAAAAGCAGCTAACAAAGACAAAATAGTCTTTTCCTTAAAAACCAGCAGCAGCATGAAGTTCATATTCTATATCTAGGTCACAGAGGGACATTACTCATAGCCACCAGTGTGGCCCACAGAGCCTGGGAAGGCCATGAATCCATCCTTGGCTTTAGAGCACGGGAGGTTCCAAGCCCCTGACCCAAACACATCCAGGCCAGTCAGCACAAAAGGCTCAAATTGGAGACAAGTGATCAATATTCACAGAGATCAGAGCAGCATTTAAGTATTTCTACCTTTTTAAGCTCCTACTCCTTGAGTGTTTAATTTTTTATACAATGCTATCTAGGAAAACCACAGGAAGAAACAAACCCACTCAATCAACATAATCAAAACACCACTCTCAGGGAGTGCTAAGTTTGGAACAGCAGGATCAAACATTCCACCCTCCCTGGGGAATGACAAGAAATAATTCAAATTCCCCTTACCTGTAAGGAGGGAACATGTGCTACCCTTTTGGGCACGATGGTGCTGGTGGTCTTGGAAGCCATCCCAGCCAAGGTGCAAGGCTTCAGAGGAAGGGTGGGGGCTTCAGAGTCATTGGAAGGTGTGACACTCCTGCCACCAACAGTCGTCTTACTGCTCCCGAGGCCTGCAGGGAACACAAAACACTCAGGTGCAAATCCTGCCACCGGGCTTCAGGCTGCCAGAATGAACTCACTATCAAAGGCCAGCACTGCAAGCTGTGATTTTCTCAAGTCCAGGTCTCCAAAGGGATACAAATTGGGCAATTTTACCACCTTGCAGGCAAGGATGAAGAAATCTTCTGCCAGGAAACGTGTCTCATTTGGGTTTGTTTTGGGGTGACTGAGTCAGCAGAGTTTAAAGAGGTAACTCTGTCAGCTGGAGGCACTGACACCCCACACGTCAGCTCTGAGTCCTTCCACTACAAAGGCACAGCAATGAGCCTTCATTAGCACTTCCCTCCTGCTCTTGCCAGCTCCAGGCTTAAACGGAAGAGGGAATGAAGAGCAAACACAATCCAAGGAAGAAACAGAAAAAGGAGAGGCTGAAGTGAGGGAGGCCGGGCGAGAGACATCAGGCTGTGCAAGTCTGACCTGTTGCTTTTCACAACAGGGTGGAATTTCTCAGGGAAAGACCTTCCACTGGACACCATCAGCAAAGATTCAAGTCATGGACAGTCCTACACATCCCCTGACAGTTTCACACGTGCCCAGGAGAAATGTAAACACATGACAGAACCTTTGACCAGGGGGAGGACAGGACAGGACAGCGACCCCAAATCCCACCGCTGGCTTACTTTGCTTGGCTGCTGCGGTGAGGGCTGCATTTGGCACGTGAGCAATCCTCCTCTTTTCTCCTGGCAAACAGAGAGAGGTCTTTTGAACAGCCCCAACCAGCTGTGCTGCCTGCTGCTGAGCCAGCTGGATCCTCTGGTAACACACCTCCTGGGCTGTGGGGGGACGGTAGGGCCGCACTACCGGCTTGCTCGGGGCCTCTGCCTGCACAGACAAACAGCGTTTAGGGCCAGCAGCCCCCTGCTCCATCCACACCCCCTGCCTTCCTCTCACCCCAAGAAGGTCTCTCCTCCTCAACCCCTCTGTTAGCAAGTACAGGGTATTGAGAGGACAAGATCCCAAGTGCCTTCCAGAATGAAATAATTAAAGAGTCATCCTTCAACAAACATGGCATTAATGATTCACGCTCTGGGAAGGCCTCCCAGCTCACTGGCACGTTCCTCAATGGGCAGGTGGTATTCATGAGCTGCTTTTAGTGGCTGTGCCCAGCCCAGCCCTGGGCTCTAGCAATACCCTCAGCCTTGCCCTAGCACACAGACCTAGCCCTGTGCTGTCTACTTTGCTTTCCACTGCAATAAAAAAGTGACACCAATTCTCCACTCTCTGGCACGTGACACTGAGCTCCACTGCTCCCTCCCTGAGGACACCTGCATCCACCTCTGCACCACGGCAGCTCCCACCTCTCTGCAGCCCTGGAACTGCTTTAAAGGCTCACAGAGAAGTATTTATGGGATCAGAGCATTACATAAACTGATTTTCTGAATTTCAAACAGGCTCTGTCCCTGCCCACTTCTGGAGGCACCTCAGTGCCTCAGCCATTACAGCACAAACAGGTTCCACACGAGCTTCCTTTGATGGCCAAATTTAGGTTTGCAGGAAAAGTGCCAGAAATTATGTCAGCAAAGAGAGAAGTTTCCTAGCAGCAGAAGTGCAAGAGAAGCAGCAGTAGTACAAACTTCTCCCTCTACTTAAAAGCCTTTGAAATGTGAGGAACAGGCCTTCCCGAAATCTCCGTGGAGGAGTGTGACCCAGTCTAACACCTGGGGGCAAGCTGGCACCTCCTGCATTCCCAGCCTCTGATGCTGACAGCAGCTTCTGGATACCAAACTGGGTGCAGTCAGACATTAAATTATAATTACAGACTTCCAAGCAGGACAGGCCACTCATTTTCTGCCTCACCTGTAATTCCTTTGGCCCCCATTTCCCCTGGCAACCAACTCTGAACTCAGCTCCCTCCCCTTCTCTGCTCAGTCCCTGAGCCATAAATCATGAGCAAGACTGAGCAAATATTCCACTTGGAGGGACACAGCAAAGCACATTCTGAGGTGAAAAGTGGCAGCTGAGGTGTTACAGCACCTCCTGGGCAGAGCTGGGAGCTGCTCTGAGCTGAGATCCTGCAGGGAATGCAGGTCCTGGAGCTGCCCTGGCACCTGAGCACACCAGATCAGCTCTGTTTGCCCAAGCAAAGGCTCTGCTGGGGCTCCCATCCTTGGGAAGCATTTTGGGATCAGCTGTCACATTAAGAAAATATATTTAAAGGTTTGTACATGTCTAAAAGGTGCCTCTTTGCAATAAATATTTGAGTTAATGAATTTCCAAGCCATTTGCTTCAGTCTCTTATCTCTTCACTTTGGAAGAAAAGGCCCTTATCAAACCACATGAACTGGCTGGAGAGATGTAGTTAAATAAAACCCATTGTATTGACCCCAGGGCTTCAAATTATTAAAGGCAAAAAAACCCTTCCTAGGCAGAGAGGAAAGGCAGAACAATTAATTTGGACTACCCAGCTCAAATTAGTGCACAAGCCTCCACTCTTATCCTGCTGCAACATAAAACTAATCTGTGATCAGCACCTGGAGGGAAACACATTAAACCCTCAGAGAAAACATGAATTAAAATCCCAGGGAGAAAGGAATAAAAAAATCAGAACTTTTTGCTTCTTCTTTGCTTTTTTTTTTTTGTTTGTTTGTTTGTTTTAATTCTTCTCCTATGTATTTGTACAATTGGGAAAGAAGAGTATCCAAACAAATACTGCAGAAATTTTGGCTGATTCAGAACAGATGTAAGATAATGGTTTTAAACATCTGACCAAATTCCTGCAGTATCTTTTAGATCCACAAGGCACAGAAAAATACTAGCAGACACGGAGTGACCTTGTGTCCAGTTAATTTTTATTGAAATCTCTAAATTAAGCTATACTGGAGAAAAATGAAACACCCCAACCTATCCCAAAGGGTTACCAAGAGCACAATCCACTCACTCTTCCCAGCCTAGCCTTGGTTTTAGGAGGGTTTATTGAGAGCTCTCCTACCACTTTTTAGAGATCCTAAACATGGGAGTTTTTTGAGAAATTGGAAAGAGAGGAAATAGAACTGCCAAAGACTGATTCCAGCACAAACAGCTCTCATGCAGCTGCCTGGCCCTGGGAGTGCAGCCTTTTCCAGGGTCAGGACAGAAAATCCTCACTTGGAACAACCTAAACTAATCTGCTTCTAAATCTGCACTTACATTTCCTTGTTTGACAAGATGAGAGATCCTTCTTTTTTGGCCAGGAAACAAGGTAGTTAAATTATCTTCTGTCTTTTCTTCATTTGCTTCTTCTTTGGATGGCTGGAAAACAAAAGAACAGAAGAACAGACTTGAAGATCCCTCACAAGAGGGAGATGTGGCAAGTCTCCTTTTGGGTTAACCTAGCAGGGGGCAGGTGAGAACACCTGGCCAGCTGCTGGGCCAGTGACAAGAACCTTGTTGTGAGCCCAAGAGCCACCAAAGAAGCCAACAGCAGCAAAACATTCCCACCCCAGCAGCAGCTTCAAAAGCTGGCATGGGGCAGATCAGCCTTACCTGCCACAGGAGCCTTGAACAGCCCTCCCCTGCCAGCCACTCACACACCTCACCTCCCATGGCATTTTCAGAGTCCAGGGGGTTTGGGATGGGTTGGTTTTTTAAGAAGTTGGGAACTGACTCATTCTGCCCTGGGCAGGTGCTGACACGTGCTCAACACCAAACCACAGTGCCCTCACCCCACATTTAGGGAAACATTTTCTGCAGGTTCAGCCACAGCTGTCACTGCAGGAAGACTCTGGTGACACAGTCCAGGACACATCCAGAAACTCAGCTGGAAGCAGAAGCACCTCTCCAGCCAAAACTACTCCAAACTGACACCTCAGACCTCCTTCTGGACAAGGAGAGCCACTTGGAAATCTGCTTGAAATTTGAATCAGTTGTTAATTGATACAAAACACTTCACAAGTTTCTTTCTCAAAACTCCAGCTGTTCTCCAGACAATCTTGTTTTCAGTTTCTCAAAACAACTCCTGGCAAAACTCTGACATGAGCCTGACAATCTCTGAAATTCAGCAACAGAGCCAAGGTTGGATTTAGGGATGAGCTTGGGCACCACTCAGGATAAGCCTGTGTTCGTCACCACAAGGGCACTCTGGATGAGCACCTCACCCTGAATCCCTTGGCTCCCCAGGAACCCCAGAGTCTGTTAATTCACTCACACCCATAATAAACTCTCACAATGCAATTCTCCCAGGCAGAAAAGCACTGCCTTGCCCACATGCAGCTCCTGCAATCACAGAATCCTGGAATATCCTGAGCTGGGAGGGACCCCCAGGGATGCTCAGCCCAGCCCCTGGCCCTGCCCAGCCACCCCAACAAGCCCACCCTGAGCACCCCTGGCAGCGCTGTCCAAACGCTCCTGCAGCTCTGGCAGCCTTGGGGCCGGGACCATTCCCTGGGCAGCCTGGGCAGTGCCAGCACCCTCGGGGGCAAGAACCTTTCCCTGAGCTCCATGCCAAGCACATTACTGTGCCTGCTCCAACTGGCACATTACTGAGCCCAAACAACCCAGGGTTGTGCTGGTTTTGCATGGTCTGGTGTTTGGTAGTGGGGGGATGCACAGAGGTGGCTTCTGTGAGAAGCTGCTGGAAGCTTCCACCATGCCCAGCAGAGCCAATCCCTGGTGGCTCTGAAGATGGACAGGCTGCTGCTCAAGGTTGGGCCAATTAGAGGTGATGGTAACACCTCTGTGATAACAGATTTAAGAAGAAAATCAAAATAAAGTGAGGCATGCAGTTTTAATTCCAGCTAGAGAAGAAGACGTGAGAACATGTGAGGGAAATGACATGGAGACACCAAGGTCAGTAGAGAAGGAGGGGCTGGAGGTGCTCCAGGGACCTGAGCTGAGATTCCTCTGCAGGCCGTGATGATGACCATGGTGAAGCAGCTGTGCCCCTGCAGCCAGTGGGGATCCACGGGGGGATGCAGAGATCCACCCACAGCCCATGGGGATCCATGGGGGATGCAGAGATCCACCCACAGCCTGTGGGATCCACAGGGGATGCAGAAATCAACACTCAGCCCATGGAGATCCATGGGGATGCAGAGATCCACCCACAGCCCATGGAGATCCATGGGGATGCAGAGATCCACCCACAGCCCATGGGGATCCATGGGGGATGCAGAGATCCACCCACAGCCTGTGGGATCCACAGGGGATGCAGAGATCCACCCACAGCCCACAAGGATCCATGGGGATGCACAGACCCATGCACAGCCTGTGACAGAGGTGAATGCCAGAGCAGGTGAATGCCTGGAGGAGGCTGTGCTCCAGTGGGAGAACTGGTGGAGAAAGGGGCCCTGCTTCCAGGCTGGAGCAGCCTGTCCCAGGAGGGCTGCACCCTGTGGGAGAGTGACCCATGACACAGCAGTTCTGGGAGGGCTGTGTGCCCGTGGAAGGGACTCACATTGCAGCAGTTTTGGGAGGGCTGTGTGCCTGTGGAAGGGACTCACATTGCAGCAGGTGCAGTAGGGCTGCTGCTCATGAGACTGGACCCACGTTGGAGAAGCTCATGGAGAGCTGTCTCCCCTGGGAGGCACCCCACAGACTCACAGGGGAAGGACTCCTCTCCCAAAGCAGTGGAAGAAAATCTCAGTGATGAAGTGACCAAACCCCCACGCTCTGCCTCCCTCTGATGTCTTGGGAAAGAAGGAGGGGCTGGGATGGAAAAAGGTGTTTTAAGAGCTTATTTTACTTCTCATTATCCTCCCCTGATTTTGTTAGCAATAAACTCACTTTGTACCTCTAAGTTGAGCCCTTGGACTATTCACTTCTGGTCTTTATCTCAACTCATGAACCCTTGGTTTGAACTTTTTCTCTCCTCTGTGCAGCTGTAGCAGAGGAGAGCAAGGCAGCGACTTTTGTGGGTTCCTGGTGTTTGGCCAGTGTCAAACCACAATGGGTCCATCTAGGAAATCATTCCATAAACAAAAAAAATGTCCCATGACCAATCCCACCCACAGACACCCATGTCCCAAAGAAGGATCCCTGCGCTGCAGTGAGCCTCCTTCCCCAAGGAGCAGAAACCAAACCTCAGCACAGGGATGCAAAGGAGCCACACGTGGCTGCTGACAACTGAGCTTTGTCACCCCAGGCCACAATTAACTGTTGGCTCTAAGTGGCAACCCCTGGTTCAGCACTTTCTGAATTCACTGATCAGTAATTCCTGCTACAGATTACGTGCCCTTCAACTATTTTCTTTTTATGTAAATACTGTCTTTTTTACTTCCTTAGTCTGAAGCCCCCAGTACCACTGGAAGAAATTTTACCTTCCATTTCTTGCTTGCACCACCCACAAGGTATCCAGAGATCCTGAGGAACTACCTGTAGTATGCATTTAGAATAGGAAAGATGAATCTGGGGAGTCTCCAAAATGTCTGACAAATACTGGACGGACTTACACCAACACCCTGTCCAGGTTCTACCTGCCCCCATGTTCCTTAAACTGTGGTGCAACAAGAAGGCAGTGCCCAGGCTGGCAACCTTGGCTTTGAAACCCCCAAAACTCACTCCCTGTAGCCTTTTGTCCAGCCATCAACACCCTCAAGGTTCTCAGGCCAGATGGAGACAGAAATAATTGATAACCCTGAAAGCCTCCCACACAAAAGGGGACTGAACCCTTGCATTTCACAGGGGCTTTCAATCCAGCAGGTAAATTCAGGTGCAAACACTTCCAAGCACTCAGTCACAACAAGGAAGAGATTCTTCCAACACATGGAGTCTCCCTCTTCACATACTTGAGATAAGCAGCACCACTAAACCAAACCAGAATCCTTCCACCTTTGGAGGGGAGAGAACCAACCACCCCAAACCCAGCATTACCTGTTTGCCCAGCCTTCCCTTGTCTTCAGTTTTTACATCTTTCGATTCATTAAAGATCCTGAGACACTCCTCCATGGGATCTGACTCAAAGTCCACATCTTTCTCAAGGATGGAATAATCAATGTCATCAGATGTTGAGGAAGATGATGATGACTTGGACAACTTCGAGCGCTTCACTTTCTTTGTCCTGTCCTTGTCACTGTCAGAGGCTGAGCCAGAGTCAGCCTCATCCAAGTCCGAGCTCACATCAAGCAACGAGGAGGACAAAGGCCGGCCTTTGTCATCCTCATCTCCACTCTCATCTCCAAACAGGTCCACGTGACTCAAACTCTGCTGCTTCTGACCCTTCTTGGGTTCTCCTTGTCCTGCACAACTGACCTTGTCCTTCTTTCGCTCCAGGGAGCTCTTGGTCCCTTTCTCCTTGTTTTTACGACCAGAGCTTTCCTTGCCATTTTTCACATCAGTGGTTTTGCTCTGCGGATCCTTCTTGCTGCTCCCCACTTTCTCTGTGCCTTTGGTGACACCCTCGCTCTTGCTTTTCCCTGAACTGCTGGTGCTGGACTTGGATTTTTCTTTCTTACACCCATCCACTTTTTCTGACTTCTGTTTTTCAGGTTTCTTCAAGTTCCCATCTGTTTTCACTTTGATGCTTTTGTCTTTGCAGTTTTTCTCTTCATTCTTGGTTTTTAATTTTTCTTCTTTCTTGAGCACTTTGTCTTTGTCTGCATTTTTATTTTTCTCCTTCTTCCCAGCCTCACTGAGGCCTGGTGCTTTACTAACATCGGTTTTCTTCTTTTTTGTTTTGTCTTTGGAGTCTTTGTTTTTATTTTCAATCTCCTTGTTGTTCTTACCAGAACACAACTTCGCTGCCTTTGAATTCTTGTCTGATGAATTCTTGGCAAGGGTTTTCTGTGAATTTGGAAGGTCCTCCCTGTGCTTTCCTGCTTCTTTGCTTTCCTGGGAAGCAGAGCCATCCACTTTTGTACTCTGCTCTTTGCTGGAGAACTCGTTTGACTCACTCTCAGAACCGGCTTTTGAGGGTGAACTACCAGGAGCTGTTTTATATTCCACCTCAGCCTCATCTTCAGAGGAGGAGAACCTGGCCAAGACCTCATCATCATCGGGATCTTCACAGAGCTTCTTCCGTGATGGCGAGTAGGAGTCCTCATAATCAGAGGCCCTTTCCCTTTTGGACCCCTTGGTTGTGGCTTTGCCCAACAGCCTGGCAGAGTAATTGGAAAGGGGGTCATATTCCAAGTCTGTGGAGGGCTTGGAGTCATCAATCACGTATTTGTTGTTAGTGACAGTGCTGCTGTATTTTTTATTCTGCACCACAGCCTTGGGGACGTACTCCAGTGAGCTCCCTTTGGAGCGGGAGGAATCCAAAGTGTATTTACTGGAGCGGCCAGCAGCAGCCAGAGGAGTGGGGTTGTAGTCTGAGTTATTACTGAAGTTGTAGCTCCCTGGATTATACTCCAAGGAAGCAAAGGAATCATTCTGAGGCCCAGCAGCTGACACAGGTGTGTTTGAAATGAGTGAGGAGCCTTCTGAAGCACCAAACTCCTTCGTGGTTTCCAGCAGCTCCTCATATTTCTTCTGCTCCCTCTCCACTTCATTCTTCACTGCCTCAATGGCCTTGTTGACCAGCTCCAGCTCCAGAATTCCAGGTGTGACATCTGTAATGTCAGCCAGAAAGCCATCCTCCACCTCCAGCGAGGGCCTGGGCAGCTCAGGGTTGTAGGGATCATAGCCTCGCTCTGGAAAGAGAAAAAGTATCATTTGCTGCCAGCAATTCAAGTAAAATTTAAAAGAGGTCTTTTCAGGGTCTGCTCTCTGCTCTGATCAAACCCCAACACTGAATGACACAACCAAAAGCCACATTCTGCACCACAGAATAAATAAATGTAGGATACCTAAAGCCACCAGTGATGTTCTCTGGCCTAGACTAAACCAGATTGTACAACCTACTCCCAGGACTAAAGATCTGTTAACAAAGTGCTTTTAAGACTCAAGGAAAAGCTCTATAAATTAAATATTCTTCAGGGCACCAAAGAAAAATCATTCTATTAGGCCCAAGGGGAGCTGAATGTGCACAGAACTATCTCCTAAATTCAATGAAGCCACCAAGGAGGAAAGAGGATTCCAGTGAGAAACTGTGGATTAGGATTTCACTTCCCAATGCCAACACCTAAAGCCCACCAAAAGCCTCCAATATTCCTCAAGGCTCAGTGATCCTCACGGCAGATGCAGGAAAACCACTCTGATCTGAACTGACAAACTGAGAGCTGCTGGTAGGAAGGAAAAACTAAACCGGGCAACACAACTCAACCATCAGAGCAATCACCAGGGCAAGAACACTGAACAACCAAAATATTTCCCCTTTCCACATTCCCCTTTCCAGAAAAGTCCCTTTGATGGCCTCTCTTCCACATCCAGCTGGAGAGGAGAAGGTTCCTGAGAGACCTGAGAGGCCCTTCCAGAGCCTAAAGGGATTCAGAGCTGGGGGTGCTCACCTGGACAAGAGAAGGCTCCAGGGAGAGCTCAGAGCCCCTTGCAGGGCCTGAAGGGGCTCCAGGAGAGCTGCAGAGGGACTGGGGACAAGGCCTGGAGGGACAGGACACAGGGAATGGCTGCCACTGCCAGAGGGCAGGGCTGGATGGGATATTGGGCAGGAATTGTTCCCTGGCAGGGTGGGCAGGCCCTGGCACAGGGTGCCCAGAGCAGCTGTGGCTGCCCCTGGATCCCTGGCAGTGCCCAAGGCCAGGCTGGGCAGGGCTGGGAGCAGCCTGGGACAGTGGGAGGTGTCCCTGCCATGGCAGAGGGTGGCTGGATGATTTTTAAAGTCTCTCCCAACCCACACCATTCCAGGACTCCAGCAATGACAGAACCTTCAAGAACATTAACAGCTGCTTTTTGACTCTGAACTGTTTTCAATCCTTGTTTTATCACAGCATCTCAAGATGCTGACATTCCAGAGGAGCTTTTTGTTCTCTGCTACAAGGACAGTACAAAACTGGCTCTCCAACATGGATATGCATAAGAACCAAACAAAAAGCAAAGAGACAGAAAACAGAAAATCAAAAACCTCTCAGGTCTAAGAGGGATGAGAGAATTTCTTGTAACAGTCAGAAACAGACAGTGTTAAAAGGGCTGTTTCTACCATTCTCATAAGACTGAGCGCTTTGGGGTATTTTTGGGGGAGGCAGGGGTAGGTTTGGGGTTTTTTAGAGAAGATACATAAATGCAGAGCTTCCTTTGGCAACAGGAAAAGGATCTGTCTAGCAGTTGGCAGAACTGGCCCCCAAGGAAGCAGAATGAAAGAGGCTGGGTTAAAATAAAGGCAGCAGTTTCAGAAAATACTTTTTATCCCTTTGGGTTTGCAAGGTTTTTTTTCCAAACCAATTAGCTCCTGATTGAACAGGGACTCTGGGCAATGGCAGATGATGTCACCACCTTCCACATGCTTGCCTGAGCCCTGCTAAGAGCCACAAACGGGGAAAGAGGAACAAGGTGCTATTTCTACAACCAGTTCCCCTGCAGCTATTGCAGAGAGCTGTAATGATGACACAAAGAACATTTCCAAACCCAGGGTGTGCTCCTCCCTGGGACACAGCCAGGGACACAGGGAGGGAGCAGGTGACAAACCAGGGACAGAGCAATTCTTGGCTACAAACCTTGAAGAAAAGCAGGTAACAAGGCAAAAACATGAACAAACCCATATGCAAACAGCAGCAGCATCAAGGCAAGGCTATGTACAGGTTATCAGAATTGTTAGGGATAAAATCAGCCTAAGAAGTGAGAAGGAACAGACAGCTCATCTCTGACCACGGTATGAAACATCAGCTCCACACTGGCAGAAAGGATCTGTGCACTGAAGCCTGCAGGAGTCAGCCAGTGCTCTCTAAATCAGCACTGAGAACTAAAATGCAGCACAAATATTTGAAGGGAACAGCTGAAAGTCTGATAATTCATGCAGGGCTAAATATCAGATGGCCTGCAAACAGAGAACACAGAGTATGGATCTAGAGACTTGCCAAAAAGAAAAGCAACAAATCCTAACCACACAAAAGCCATCTTGTACATGCAGAAAACCAAACTATTTTAAATGTATCAGGATCAGGGAAAGCAGCGGGCAACCCCAGCACAGATATGGTGGCTGCTGTTCTCTAGCACAGAACTCCTGGCACATTTTCTGTAGCCTGCAGGAGTCAGCCAATGCTCTCTAAATCAGCACTGAGAACTAAAATGCAGCACAAATATTTGAAGGGAACAGCTGAAAGTCTGATAATTCATGCAGGGCTAAATATCAGATGGCCTGCAAACAGAGAACACAGAGTATGGATCTAGAGACTTGCCAAAAAGAAAAGCAACAAATCCTAACCACACAAAAGCCATTTTGTACATGCAGAAAACCAAACTATTTTAAATGTATCAGGATCAGGGAAAGCAGCGGGCAACCCCAGCACAGATATGATGGCTGCTGTTCTCTAGCCTGGAATGATGAAAACACACACTGTAACCTCAGGACATGCCACAGGCTGTGAGACAGGGCAGGGAAAAGCTCTGAGAGCTCTGTGGAAGTGTGGGGGAGGCCTGATGGATTCTCCAGCACTGCTGATCAAAGGCTGCCTGCCCATGAAAGACTTGTGTAAGTGGCTCCAGGTGCCCATCAGCACCACCCCTCTGGCCTCGAGGCATCTGCAGAGAATGCAGCAGAAACACTGCAGGAGGGGTTTTATTTATATAAAACCATATATAGACAAAAATCTATAATTTTTTATATATAGCATTATATAAATATATATAAAACAACATTTACACAAAATATTTATAAATAAAAATATATAATCTCTAAATAAATATAAAATATAAAGATATATTTATATACTAAATATAAATATATATTTATATATAATATATTAAATACAAAAATATATAAAATGTTTATATGCTCATATTTTAATATTATTTTTATATTTATGTTTATTCATATTTATATATTTAAAAATTATGTGTGTGTATTTATTTATATATTTATATATAACTATTTATATTTTATATAATTATATATTTATTTTTATATGTATTTATATGTATACATACATGATGAGGTATAAACACACAAGTCTCCAAACCAGAGATGTTCCACCTGCTATTTGAAATCAGGTTTTCATCTGCCAAACTACACTCCCAGGAACCAGGAAAGGGAAGGATCTTCCTGCCCCTGGGATCTGACTCTCAAAGGAGTCTGCTTCATGTTTTCCTTCATTCCTGTTGCCTTCACTAAGCTGGGCACTCAGGGTGAGCAGGATGAGCTGCACTGGGGCTGCTGCTCTGATGCAGCAGATGGACTGAGAGGCACTCCAAGTGAAAGAACTCTTTTTGGAGGGATGGAAAGCTGAGTCTGCTCTGACCCTCGGGAATCACGAGATAATGAGACTGGAGATGCCAACTCCTTGCAGGATTGTGAACTAAACACTTTTTAAAGTACAAACTATTTTAATAAATTAATGTACCTCAGATACATGAAATAACCCTCCTGAGAAACAAAAGGTGAGGTTACCATTAATATTATAGAAAGCAAGTTATTAATATTAAACAAGTTATTGACATTAATATTATTAATATATCATTAATAATTATATCTATTATAGTAATAGAGACACAGAGGTCTCTATGCAGCACCTCAGTGACCATTATATTTAACCCAGAACTGCTTTAGAACACACCCAACTGAGCTGTGCTTAAATCAGCCATGGCAGCACAGAAAATATAGAAGCACAGAACAAGATTCTACCTAAAAAAACCAGGCTGATGGGTTTTTTTCCTGGTAACTGTCAGGATGACTGAGGGACACGAGGCTTCAGTTCCAAGGTGGAGCTGGATTATTACAAAGCTTCTCTGAGCCAGACTCTTCACTGGTCCTTCTAGTTTGGGCAACAGGCAAGGGCAGTAAACAAAGCTGACATTAAAGAAGAGTGGGAGGACAAGGTCACCTGTGTGAAGGTAAAACTTATTTTACAGTGAATCATTCCAGAGAAAAGTCTTTTTTTTTTTTCCTTTGTCCAAGCCTACCACAGCACATAGCTGAGATGCTTTGAATACAGAAAAGCCCAAATGTGTGACAGGTGAGCTGTAATGATCATGCAAACCTGCAGGTTTTGGAAAAGGACTCCAGCTCTTGAATGCATGTGGAAGACAGAATCCCAGACTGGTTTGGGTTGGAAGAGACCTTAAAGCTCATCCAGTGCCACCCCTGCCATGGACACCTTCCACTGTCCCAGGCTGCTCCAAGCCCCATCCAACATCGGACACTTCCAGGATGCAGCAGCCACAGCTGCTCTGGACAACTGGATGACAACTGCTTCTCCCAGATCCAACAGAGCTGCTGCTGCTGCCAGATAAAAAGGCTGCAAAAATCAGAAACTTTGAAATTTACAGCAATTAGGAGTTCCAAACAAAAGGCTTTGCTGGCCAAGCTGCAGAGGGACCAGCACAGGTCTAAAGACATTGAACATTTATTGCAGTGAACACAAGAAGGACACTGAGGGGCTGGAGCGTGTCCAGGGGAGGGAACAGAGCTGGGGAAGGGTCTGGAGCCCCAGGAGAGGCTGAGGGAGCTGGGAAAGGGGCTCAGCCTGGAGAAAAGGAGGCTCAGGGGGATCTTGTGGCTCTGCACAACTCCTGACAGGAGGGGACAGCCGGGGGGGTCGGGCTCTGCTCCAGGGAACAGGGACAGGAGGAGAGGGAACAGCCT